AGGTCAGGTATTCTATGGGAAGAGCTAGCTGACACTAAGATGGTGTGGAAATGAGAGTCAGAAAGGTAAGAGGCCAGAACCTAGATAGCCCAGTCTTACCACTTCCTAGAGAAGGATCGTAGGATCTGGAGCCATTTGTTTTTACATCTGCAAAATGGGGCTATTAATGAATGTGATGAGAAATCAGTAAAAACATTCACCATTCATTCATTTAAAATAGATGTACTTTGACTGGTACCTGCTATGTTCCAGGTTCTAGCACCAGGCTCTTGAGTACCCAGAAAACCAAGCCCACTGCCACTGAGTCAGTTCTGACTCATCTCAGCCCGTTCACGCAGTGTTGGAATGCTAACACAAGGTCATTGGTTCAAACCCACCAGCTGCTCCTCAGGAGAGGGATGAGGCCTGTCTGCTCCTGTAAGGATTTAGTCTTGGAAACCCTAAGGAGCAGTTCTATTCTGCCCTATAGTGTAACCATGAGTCTTGAGTACAGAGATGACAAAACCACACACATTCTAGTGACAGAAGGTAACCACTCAAATGAGGGTGATTGTGCACATAAGAGGGGATGTGGCCTAGTCAGGATAAAGTGCTTCAGCTCCAGGGCAGACAATAAATGTTCAATAAAGGTCAGCAACCAGAATGACAGTTGTGATTATTATTTTATTATGTAACAAATACAGGCACTGCTCCAAGCACAACACTGAGGAGAGGCACGGGTGGGCACTGGAGTGCTAGTCAGAGTCAAGTAGACTATGGCAGGGTGGGTGGTCAGCTGGCACTAGGGGATCACCCCACAGGACATGGTCATCCCATCCTTAATTTATCCCTAGACATCTCCAGGGTCACAGGGGCAGCTTGCTTTGCTGGGATAGATGCCTTTGGGCAGAGATCTAGCTGACATCAGTTTTTTGCCTATCTAGAAGGCTCCAGGCTTCCAGCCATGGGTCTGCTTTGGTCCTTGCCTACTTGGAGCCTCCAGACTGGTGGCAGAGACTGGCACCAGACAGAGAGCTTCAGAACAGGGATGCCCTGCTTCTTCTTCCCACTTCAGGGCCTTTGCACGTGTTCCCTCTTGAGTTTTGACTTGCTGGTCATTCAGGTCTTAGCTCAAACTTACTTCCTCTGACTGGCCTTCCCCACCTCTGCTCCTGGCGTTTTGTCTCTTCTCCATGTCTTTCCTTCCAAACTCCATCACCTCTGAAATGGTCTGGTTTTCTTTTGGTTATCTTTCTGCTTCTAACTAGAACACTGCTGCTCAGCCTTTTTTCCTTATTGCTGCCCAGAGGAGCCTGTTTATAAATTTTTGTCCTAATTGTCCTCCCTCTCCCATGAAATCTGAATACCATAGCTAAACAGAGCCACAAACCACTGTCATATCCAAGAATTTGTCACTTCCCTCCAAAAAATCAATTTTTGCCCCACTGGAAGTGACCTCACCCTGTTGAGAATGCATGGACTAGAACAAGAACACAGGGTCCATGAAAGCGGGCCTTGTCTGTCTTCTTCACTGCTGTGTCTACAATGCCTGACTTGGCACTTAGTAGGTGCTCAGTAAATAGTTACGATATGACTGAAAGTCCAGGGGCCCTAGGAGCACAAAGGGGACATTCACCTTGGAGATGGAGGAGGGATTGGCAGGGAAGGCTTTGTGGAAGGGGGAATCTTTGTAGGCTGAGTATAGGTGAGGAAGGGAGATGTAGGGAGGGTGACCAGTTAGTGGATACAGTGTGGGCAAAGGCATGAAGCACTCAAGGTACTTGGGGTATGCCACACCACATCTGGGTAGATGTGGTCTCATCTGTTTGAGGCCTGGAAACATTGGTGAAACGACCCCCTGGTGGTCACTGGTTCATGTCTCTCAGCTCCAAAGGTCCCATGCTAATCAGGAGAACTTTGTGCCTAGACTAGGCTCTAGCACAAAACAGCTGTGGGATCCTGGGGACTGGGAAGGAAGGTGAGCTAGCCTCATGGACTTGTGGTTTCTTTGCCTGGCTGAGGCGGCTGACAGCTCTACATTGGAGGTCATCAGCTATCTCCTCTCCCTTGTTGTTAAGTGCGGTTGAGTCGATTCCGACCCATAGCAACCCTGTATATAGGGTATTCAAGGTGAACCCAAACTACCAAGACGTTGCATTTCAAATGGCTTTGCAGTCTGATGCATTAATCCACAGCACCACACGGGACTCCTCTCCCTAGGAGCCCTGAAAAGTCCCATCTGGGTCCCCATGACTGAGGAAGCAAACAGGCTCTGGGGTCTGGGTTTGCTATAAACCTTCTTGAGACCTCCCTCTGGCCCACCTCTGGCCCTCACTCTCTCCACATCAGGCTGGCTGAAACCAGCAGGAGCCACCCAGGAGCAATGGATGCTTCTCCCTGCTTTTCCAGACAGGCTGCTCTGTGATCCTGTTTGTTTATCCCAAGCAGCCGCCCGCTGAGAAAATGGCTGTGTTTGTTTCCAAGTGTGTCGTGTGAACCATGAGCTAAATATACCCACACCACCGCCTGCCTCTACACCACCCACCCTACACCAGCCCTCCCCGATTTGCTCCTGCTCTCTGCAAAAGCAATCCCCAGAATCTGCAGCCCTTGGGAGTCACCCCCTCTCCCCAGGAGAAGGAGCTCCTGAAGCAGAGAGGAAGGTTATTGGGGCCAGGAATGTGCGCGAGGGGGCTGGGCGGGTTAGCGCTTGTTCTCTGTGGTACTGCAATGAGAGTGTTCCCTCCACCCTGGAATGACTGTTCCTGGACAGTGAGTGCTTTGTGCCCTTGTGGGAACAGGGCCTGTTTACGCCAGCCCAGCCCCAGCACTGAAAATTTCCTGTGGCTGCCAGCCTTGGACTTCAGGAAAGTTCCCAGCAAGGGAGCCAGGCCTCTCCCACTTTGGCAGCAACCCCAGTGTCCCTGGTGTCTTGTGGGACATTTGGCCCCTTGGGATAACCCGGGTCTTGTAGCTGTGGCCTCCTTTCTCCCATGTTTCCACAGCCAGGGACTCTTCTCCCCACGACCCCCTCGTCACAGACAAGCACTTTTTGTGACTCCCTGGCTCTGCTTCACTTGGGACCAGTGAAAGTAAGCCTCCCATAAGTATTTTCTTGTCTGCCAAGACCCACTGAGACTGGCCAGGGTGGAATGGGAGACACAGGGAGGCCAAATAGGTGGTTGGCTATTGCCACCAGCCTCTGTCCTCCTATCCCCAGACCCAAGGCTCCACCTCAATCCCTCAGAATCCTCTCAGCCCTCACTGACAGGACAGACCCTCCTCAACCCTTAAGGAAAGTGTCCTGCTGTACAGTGCTCACATTGGAGTTAGATAGACCTGGATTCTGACCATGTAGCACATTTATTCTACTCTTGTATTTATTAAGAACCAACTTTGCGCCCGATGCTGTTCTGGGTGCTGGTATATAGGAATAAGAGTCTGTCCTCATCAAGACTCATTTAGTGCTGGAGACACATCAAGGCACAAAGTGTAGACTGGAATGATTAAAAAGTGCTGAGGTGAAAAGTAAAGTCAAGCAAAGTAAGAGGAAAGTAAAGCGGGATGAAGGTGGGTGCTATCTTAAACCAGGGGTTCAGGGAAGACCTCTCTGAGGAGGTGATTTATGAACAGTCCCATGCCAGTATGTATGTGAAGGAGGGAGGTAGGAGCTGACTGCGGTCCAGCGCTCCAGGCAGCAGGCCCAAGTTCCTGAAGAAGGAGATGTTTGAGGGATAACAAGGACGCCAATATGGCTGAAATGAAGTATGGAAGGAGAGAAGGAGTTAGTTCACACTAGATCTTGCTGGCCTTGGTCATCCACCTGCTTTCCTCAGTGTCCACTCCCCAGTTAGGCTGTAAGCTCTGTGGCTTCTGATCACTGCTACCCCCTTAATGACGGAGCCATGACGAGTGTTCTTTCCACCAAGTGGACACTCTGCCAGGTACTAGGGATATGGAAATGGACAACAAAGCCGGAGAAAGCTGTTGGAGTGCCATGAACTGATCTGCATTTAAGAATCTTCTCTACATGGAATAGGGATTTGCTTGCGGGGTGGTGCAGACGGGGGTGCACAAGACTAGAAGTGGGGCCAGACAGGTATGACAAGTGAGCAAACTGGATCCATGTAGTCTGGAGCCACTATTTGTCCAATTGGGACAGGTGGCCATGTAGGCCCTGTGTGGGGATCTCTTGGTACCGAGATCCACCCATCCCACAGACACACTCTGAGCACTGATTTCTAGGTACCAGACGCCAGATTTGGGTTCTGGTTTCTAGCACTGACAAAGATGATGACCGTGCTCAAGTCCCTCAGCCCTCAGAAGCCCAGCTTCCTAGCCTGTGGATGAGCAGAGAGCCCACCTCAAAGCATTATTTTGAGAGGATTCAAGGACTTCTGGTGTGGCACTGTAGGACCAGCACTGGACTGCAAACCACAAAGTCGGCAGTTCAAACCCACCAGCTGGTCCTCAGAAACCCTATACAGGGTCACTGAGTCACACCAACTCATGGCCCTTAACGACAACAAAAAGGATGAAATGGGTGCAAAGCTCCCATCTTCCTGCCTGCAGGCTAGGTAATTCAGCCTCAAGCCTTCCTCCTCCTGACCAAGCCTCAGAGCAGAGAGCTGTTGCTCACAGAGTCAGACCCTCACAGACCCATTGTGGCAGCTTTCCAATCCTGCATCACTTCTCTGTCACTCTGCCCTGTGCTTCCCACCTGTCAGCTCAATTTGTCCTTCCCAGTCTTCTTCCCATGGGCAAAGGAGCCTGAGGCTGTGGTCCCAGCACTCTAATCCCTGCTGGGGATTTAGCTTTTCCTGTTGCTTTTAGACAGAGGTTCACATCTGCATCCCCATTTCCCAGCCACCTGACCACCTGTCTGTCAGTTCCTGAACCTGCCCATCCCTCCCACCCAGGGTTCTAGAATGAGGAAGCCATTTCCTGCCTGTCTCCTCTGGGCCCCACACATTGCTGCAGTCCTCAGACTCAAATACCACCTTCCTTCTTTCTCCCTGCAGGACACTTTCGTGGAACTCTATGGGAACAATGCAGCTGCAGAGAGCCGGAAAGGCCAGGAGCGCTTCAACCGCTGGTTCCTGACAGGCATGACTGTGGCCGGTGTGGTTCTGCTGGGCTCACTCTTCAGTCGGAAATGACCAGACACTGACTACCCACACACCATCCCACCCCTATCCCTGCCCCCAGCACATCCCTCCATTTGATCCCCATTGCCACCAGGAGAACCACTACATGCCGCCCGCCCATGCCTGCCCACCTGCCCACCACAAGGTGGGGCTTACACCAGGTCCCCTGCAGTTAGTTTTCTAGAATCCACCACCATGCTTCTATGAGAGCCACCTCCCCCTGTACCTCCATTGTCCTGGCCTCAAAACCCATAGTTTCACCATGGAAGCTGACAGGTATGGGGGGGAGGGGTTGTGGCTGTGACAAGAGGGCCCTAAGCCCTTACCCCTTACCCTCCCAAGAGTACTGTCTGCCAGGGAGCTGGAAAGTTTTCTGAACCTCTTCCCCAGAAAGAGAAACTAGATTGCCTTTGTTTTGTGTTTGTGGCCTCAGAATTGATCATGTCCCATCCCCTCCTAAACCTGGGCTTCCCTTCCTTCCATCTCCATTCCCTAGAGCCACTTAGGGGCCACTTTTGGATAATTAGGGATTCAGGCTACTGGGGATAAAGAAGCAAAGACCAGGACCCCCTCTCCACCTCTGGCCTGGCCAATGCCCCCACTCCCATCCAAGGTCCCCCAGAGGCCTCTGACTAGAGGCCAGACCCACCCTTAATGGGCAGGGGTCTGTCTACATAAGCACCCCATGCCAAAGCAAGGGTGATCTTTGCAGTTTAGCACCATCGCCAGTCCACTCTTCTCCCCTGGCTCCCATGACCATGACTGAGGGACCAACTGGACCCTAAGACAGGAGCCCCAGAGCTGTTCATGGACTCCACTGAACAGCTCTGGAGAGCAGCTCGTAGCATCTTTGCCTTGGGCCAGGGCTCATGGTGCCCAGGGTCTTCTGGGGCCTCAGCCCAGAGGTGGTGAAGAGCTATGGGAGCAGCTGTGGGCACCCTAGGGTCTTCCCTACCTCAGGCAGGAAGGAGAGACATTGCACGGGGTAAAGGGGGCTGAAAGGCTCAGTCCTGCTGGGCCAGGCCAATCTGCACCCCACCCGCATTCAGCCTGGGCAGCAGGGCTGCCAAGGCCAGAGTGGCCTGGCCTGGAGCCCTTCAGATCCCCCCCTCTCCTCTGCTCCACCCACGGCCTGTCTCATCCATGGGGGTCCCAGCCACCCGAGCTCTCTGCTGTACATATTTGAGACTAGTTTTTATTCCTTGTGAAGATGATATACTATTTTTGTTAAGCGTGTCTGTATTTATGTGTGAGGAGCTGCTGGCTTGCTGTGCGCGTGCACGTGGAGAGCTGGTGCCCGGAGATTGGACGGCCTGATGCTCCCTCCCATGCCCTGGCCCAGAGAAGCCTGAGGGGCACCTGTCCTTCCCCTCATCCCTTACCCCCAACTTGTTCCAGCTCTTTGAAATAGTCTGTGTGAAGGTGAAAGTGCAGTTCAGTAATAAACTGTGTTGAATCAGTGAACAAAGGGCCAGAGCTCTTGTGTACCCTGGGAAAGGAAAGATGGCTACCCCTTAGACAACCCTTTCGCCTGCGTGTACACTGACAGATATCCTGAGTGGTGCAGTTTGTGCTGGAATCCTAACCAAAAGGTTGGCCGTTCAGCTCCCCCGGCAGCAATGTGGAAGAACATCATGGCGACTTAAGTCTAAAAATGTCAGCCAAGAAAACCCCTTGGAGCTCGATTCTACTCAAACACATGGGATCTCCTTGAGCTGGAATTGACAGGGTTTTTTGAGTTGCTGTGTGTGCCAGGCGCTGGGTTGGTCATTGGAGCTTGGTACCAATAGACATACACACAGCCCTTGCCCTCAGGAGCAGACATTGTAGTAGGAGAAGCTCCATTAGCCACTCAGCATGTGCTTTAGGTACAGGTACAGTCCCAGAGCTAACACTGGTGGGGGCGACAGGCAAATACCATGAGTACTGGAAACCAGGATACCATGAAGAAGCCATTCCAGTCTCTGGCCTGACAAGACCTTAGTGGGGAAGGAGGTAAGGGGGCTTGTGACCTGATTTTTACATGTACCTGCCAGCTTTTCCCTCTATAAAATAGGTATATAATTGTGCCCCACCCCCACCCCCATTTACAGCCTCAAAACCCTATACAGGGTCGCCGTGAGTCGAAACTCACTCTCCCGACGGCACTTAACAAGAACAATTTGCACAGGCTGTGGTCAAGTTTAAACGGGATATTAAATAAATGTAAAAAAACAAAAGGATAGCCTAACGGTGTGGGGGAGGGCTGGTTGCTGGAAGGGGGCGATGACCCCACTTTTGGGCATGCTCTTTACCAGGAAGGAGTTGGTGCTCCTCAAGGAGTTCCCTGGTTTCTCTGTGGCTGCGTCTAGAGGTCAGGGAAGGGTTATGAAAGCGGTCAGAGATTCCAGGGGCGGTGGGAGGGGACACTGGAGGCTGGGCCGGCCTCGGGCTCTCCTTCTCGCTGCTTTCGGGAGCAGACTTGACTGCCTCCTGGTGGCTCTGCGGTGATACGACCTGGAAACCAGCTCCACCTCAAGCTATCCTCACGTTAGCGCTCCCGACCACGGTCTCCCACCTGGCCAATTCACCCGCAGCATCCTCCGTCGTTTGACCTCGCCAGAAGGACCTCTACACCACCAACACTTAGAGCTGCCATGGCTCTCCCTGAGCTTGGAGTCGTCTCCAGCTTCCCACACACCCCTGTCCCCACAATGTGCCCCTAGCTCCTACCTCCAAGCCTGGCCAATCAAGTACCCTTTCCAGCTTCTTGTTGATATCCTTACAGAAACATATTTTCACATACACAGATTGACATTTTGATCTTCCCTTATTTTTTTTACAGCAATGGTAGCGTATTAAGGCACGCCATGCCTTGCGTTTTTCACCTTAATATACCTTACAGAAGTTCCTATAGTCATACATAAGTTGTTAGTGGTGTTAAGTACTGTCAAGTCGGTTCCGACCCATAGGTATAAAGTTTCCAAGAAGCGGCTGGTGGGTTTGAACCGCCAACCTTGCAGTTCAAACTGCCCTTGCAGTCCAGAGCATTGTCCTGCAGCGCTACACCAGGACTCTTAATACATAGCTTCCTTGTTTATCTAAAGCTTTTTCATATAGGAAACTGCAAATACACAAAAGTAGAGAAAATAGTGTGATGTGCTCGCACGGCAGCTTCATTTCTCCCAACAGCATCGTGTTTCACAAGTCATCTAACCAGACCTCTACCTCAATGCTTCCGAACCTTTCACATGTCACGTTACATGCTTTTAATATTGGAATTAATCAGGGAAAGTTGTAAGGACTTTTGAACTGGTATATGGGTGGGTCATTCCGTTTCTTTATAGTACGAATATCAGAAAATGAAATTCAGCCTATTAGGGAAGATATGAGGTATTAACTTTGATGAAGGCTTCCAAATATTTTGCAGTTATTGCTTGAGAAACTCGATTTTGCTCCTTCTGTGAATGCAGCTTTTTAATACGCAGTTTCATGATTGAAATTGTTTTCCACGATTCCAGATGGAAGCTTATGAATGACGAGCTCGCCAAATTCTTGGTAGTCAGCATGAGTAAGTCTTTGTAACCTCAAATAGGTGATCATTTTTTAAAAACCATTCCAAATTTTAAAACTGAAATTATATTTACACATTCCAATAACTCATCCCTTGCTTTAATTGACAAATAGAATGTTGACATTCCCTGTAGCAATTAAGTGAGTTCTAATCCAAATGAACTTTTTCTTTTTGGATATGTAAAAATAATGGTGAGTTCCAGAGCACAGGAAAAGACATAAAGCTTTGAACCTAATTTCTTTGGTGAGATAAATAATGCAGTTATTAAAACCAGCTGCATAACACAAAGGACGGGAGGGAGGGAGAAGTGGTAAAAAGAGAGGCAGAGAAGAAAGTGAATTCTAGGAAGACCCCTAACGAGATGGATCAGCCAGGTGGCATCACTGATGGACTCCAGTGTGGCAGCGGTAGTGAGGTTGGCCCAGGATCGGACATTGTTTCTTTTTGCTGTGCATGGGGTCACTATGAGTCGGTTCCGACTCGATGGCACCTGACAACAACAACTTCTTATGAGGACTCTTAGTGTGGTGCTGTCAGATAAGCACTGGACTGCGAACCACAAGGTCAGCAGTTCAAACTCACCAGCTGCTCTTTCAAAACCCTGTACCAGGGTCGCTATAAGTCAGAATCGACTGGATGGCACTTAACAACAACATCATTTACTACATTACTAGCATAGTTCTAAACATAATATCAGTAAGTTGAATCTAACAACATATTAAAGAATAATGCACCATATAACAAAGTAGGATTTATTCTCGGTAAACAAGGTGGTCTGAAAATTAGGAACTCTTGACGTAATTTTATTTTATGGAAAAAACAACAAAGGAAAGTCATATGATTATTTCAGTAGATAGATATCAATATAGTGTTTCGTAAAATTCAATATACCTATCAATTCATGGAGTCCTGGTGTGGTGCTGTGGGTTAATGCGTCAGATGGCAAAGCCGTTTGAACTGCAAAGTCGGTAGTTCAAGCTCACCAATCACTCCTTGGAAACCCTATACAGGGTCGCTATGGGTCGGAACCGACTCGACGACACTTAACAACAACAGCAGTTCATGATTTTTAGAAAACATTTAGTGATTCAAGTCAACTCTTACATTTTCATACTCTTGAGTTTTATAAAGGTTTATGAAAATGACTGTGTATTGCTTGTGTAATATAAAAATTAACAAGTCATGCAGAAAAAAAATATCAAATTCATTACATAAATGTCCAGCTTTGCATTTTTATATCTCCGTCATCAGTCTTTGCTATGAGGCAGTAATACTAAACACCTTTTCTTACTATAGGCAAATTAATAAAAATTATAGACATGTAGGGCTTCAAAAAGTTTGTGGGAAAATTCCATTATCTGTCAGTACCATTTTTCCAAAGTAATATCCCTGTACTGTTAGAATTCTGGGCATATGGAGTATTTAATTCCTCCTAAATTATTGAAGCTATCTCCTTTCAGTAGGTTCACACATGAATAATTATCTTGAATAATTCCTTTGTAAGGAGCCTTGAGACATCTTATGAAATTCAAATGACAGATTTTAAGAAGCCAGTCTTAAAGTGCAAAGAAGTTTTTCTTCAAACACAAAGGTTCTGAGAATATGGACATAGATTAAGAAAAAAATCTGCAAATAGGAAAGAATATGAACATATCTTAGTGGCCCAACCCAAGAGATAGTTTGTAAATGTGTTGCTGGGTTGGAAGTGACCAAGATGCATGTCAGGAAAGCATGGCTCTAATTGCACTGTAAAGAACACATACCCCAGACACCTACAGCTCGTCCCTCTCCCTTGGCACTGTAAAAATAATAAGAAAATAATAGCACTAATTTGCAAACCTTTTATGTATCTAGAACATCATCCCCTGCAGTTGGTTGACTGTCCCTAAAAGGCACATTAATCTTACCTGGGCTGTATGGCAAGCTCCCTGAGCAACCTGGTAAACAAACATTAGTGACTCAACAGACTTTGTCCAGGATGGGTGGCCAACGAACTCTGCAGTTCACCACTGGGAAGAGACCAAGCTTGGTCATGCTCTGCAATGACCATAAGGTAATGGCTAGGAGCAGGACTCTGAAAGCAGACTGCCTGAGGTTGAATCCTGGGTCCACCACTGATGAGCTGGGTGGCCTTGAGCTAGTGTCTCAACCTCTCTGTCCCTGACTTTCTTCACCTGACAATTGGATGTGATAATCATACACATATCATGGGGTAGTGACACACAGCTAGTGCTTGGTAAGTCTTTTAGAATGCTGTTTGGCACCATAGTTATCTAACTGCTATCCAATTTCCTGCCTCCACTCCCACTCCTCTGACGCCAAGACCTGAGAGCACTGGTCAGAGGGGCTCTAAATATATCTTAATATGAGTTTCCTCCAAAAGCAAAGCTAAGATAAGGATTCAGGTACAAATGGCTTAAGTGATGAGTCCAAGAGAGTGGGGAGGGACGGAGGAAGGGGGAGGGGCAGGGAGGGTTGGTGGGCAGTGGACAAGGAGCCAGTAGAAGAAGCAATCACGTGGAAGTTTACCATTTCAGGCACTGGGGTTCTTCCCAAAGGGCATCCTTTGAAAGACCTGGGGAACATCCTCAGAATCCTGTCACTGAGGGGGCAGCTCCCATCTTTCATTGGATGAGGGCAGCATTTGGCACCTCCTGCTGCCCTAGAGGTGGGCTGAGAATAAACCTGTGTTCACAGTGCTACAGATGTCTGTCCCCTTGAACGAGAACTGTCTACCAAAGCTGCTGGTGACCTCTGTATGTTGGCCACGCCGGCCACAACTTCTGAGCCACTTGTAGCACACCAGTTGAACCACTCTGCTTGTTAGGTGTCACCAAGTCAGTACCAACTCATAGCAACCCTACACACAACAGAACGAAACACTGCCCAATCCTAGGCTAACATCACAATTGTTACCCCGCTTGAGCCCATTGATGCTGCCATTTTGCCAATCCATCTCGCTTGAGGAAGGGACAACTGGGCAGTTTTCAACCCTTGCTAATCCAAACAAACAATGCTGCAATAAATAACCTCATGTATCTATCGTTTTGCACATGTGCACAGGTTTCCACAGAACAAGTCTCTAGAAGTCGAATTGCTGGGGCAAAAGGTAGATGCATTTGTCATTTTGCTAGATAGAGTCAAAACTGGTATCATACACAAAGCTGCCTTTCTCCTGCATCCTTGCTCACATCTGTTGGCAAGACATCTGCCAACCTTCTTTGATCTTAGTTTGCTAGATGAAAAGAATACTATCTCAGACACTAACATTTCATCTTTGAAACTCGAATTGAGGTTGGCATCTTCTAATATATTTGAAAGCCATCTGTCCTCTTAATAAGTTAATGAGTCTGTGATATGGCCTGTCAGGGCTGCTAATGATACACAAAAACAAACAGGCATGGTCCGTCTCCTGCCTAAAGAACATCAAATATTCTTGCCCAAAAAAATCAAACTGAAATCTGATCAAGCCTCTAAATTTAACCACTATTTCACTAGTTATAGAAAATGCAGGGGACAAAGGGATGTAATAGTCCATGGACATACAATCAGCAAAATGCACGTTGGGGGGCACTCTTCAGTACAAGGGACACTGTTTCTTCAACTTTTTAAATGCAAGGAGAAAGGGAAAGAGAGAGAGAGGCTATGGATTAAAAGAGATTCAAGAGGTAGTTGAATTGCTGGATTTCTGCTTCCAGGAAGATGGAGTGGGCACACTTTTCCCTGTTCTCACCAAGTACAGCTAAAACCCCTGGACATAATATCTGAAACAAACAGGAGAAGCGTCTGAACAGTGGATTGAAGGGCCTCAGGAGCTGAGGAACAACATGGGGTGAGTTCCCTAGGTTTTATTTTTGCCCCAGATGCTGTTGTTAAGCGCCATGGAATTGATTCTGACTCATAGTGACCCTGAATAGGGTTTCCAAGGAGTGGCTGGTGGGTTTGAACCACTGACCATGTGCTTAGCAGTCCAGTGTTTATCCTATAGTACCATACCAGGACTCCATTGCCATATGTGAGGGGGCTTTTAAAAGTGTGTGGAAATATTCTATTATCTTTTCATTCTATTTTTTTCCACAAACTTTTTAAAAAACGCCTTGTATATCCCAGACTTGGAGCCAAAGATGGTGGCAATCCAGAAAAGCCAATGGAGTGAAAAAGCACCATCTAAAAAGACAGAAAACTTTCAGACAGTAACTGACTAGTCCCTCATCTTTTGGTCCTTTTCTCAAATACCATCTCCTTTAAAAGGCCTTTACATACCACCCTTCATTCCTCCCATGGAGTCCAGGGTGGCACTCTAGGGTAAGCACTGAATTACAAGGTCAGTTTGAACCTTGTAGTGGTTCAAACTCACCCGTCACTCCTCGGAAACCCTATATGTGGTCGCTGTGAGTTGGAACTGACTCGACGGCATTTTAAGAGCAACATAAAACTCCATCCATCCTGCTTTGTTTTATTTCTTTTTATCATTTATCACCATGTTGTTGTTGTTGTTGTTAAGTGCTGTCCAGTCCATTTCAACTCATAGTGAGCCCATTCTAAAACCTGTATAGGGTTTCCAAGGAGCAGTGTAATATACTAATGTTATACTTATTTATGTTCTTGTTTCCTTCTGGAATGTCTCCTTCATGAGGCCAGAAACATTGTCTTACTCACTGCTGCATCCCCAGGTCTACATTAGCACCTGGCACATAGTAGATGCTCAATAAAGATTTGTCAGGTGACGGAATGGAGGCCTGACCTTGCCTTTGTTCAATCCATTCCTTCCACATGGACTGCTTCCCCTTCTCATCTCTGCCTCTCCTAGTCCCACTTATCCTTTAAGGCTCAAGGCTAGCTCCCACTCCTTGAGGAAGCCCTCCTTGACTAGCTGGGCTCTGAGAGCCTGAAAATTGATCTGTTCTTGCCCTTCACCTACTATGCTATCTAATTTTAGATGCCAGGTAAAGACTGAAAAACAAAACAAAACAAAACCCAAACTGATTTTCATCAGTCACTTCCAACTCTAAGGCTGTAATCTTACAGAAGGTCACCAGGTCTTTCTTCTGCAGTGCTCCTGGGTGGATTTGAACCATGAAACTTCTGGTTAGTAACTGAGTGCAAGGTGGCAATTATAAGGAGCAAACAGACCCAGCTTTATTGAGGAGAAGGGCAGGGGAGGGGCTGCCAGAGGTGGGGTTTTCAGAGTTATGGGGGCTACAGCCTTGGGTGCAGTATCACGTCACTTCTTCCACTCCTTCTTGTCGTAGTCCCAGCGGGCAGCCAGGCCTTGCACAGGGTTGCCCTTCATATCCAGGATGCGCTGGAGCTGCTGGGCCTTCCATTCATCCATCAGGGTGATGGGCTTCTTGGGGAACACTGTGGGGAGGGGATGCCTGAGCCTGGGTCTCCAGACACAGAGCTCCTGTTCTGACTTGCTCTCTCCACTCTGCCCAGCACCCTACCAGACTCTTTTCCAAAACATCACTCCAGGGACCTAGTTCTACCTGAGACTTCCCTGTGGGACCTGGGCTAAGGTCCTTCCCTCTCTGAGTCTCTCCTCACCTGCCTCTGTGGCCTAACGGTAATAGGGGTAACAGGAACATTCATTTGAAGTCTGCCTGGATCCAAATCCCAGCTCCATCATTCCTGTGTGACCTTGAGCAAGTCACCTCACCTCTTTGAGCCTCAGTTCCTTATCTATCAAAAACAAGTCCTATCACAGTTGCAACAACAACAAAAATAAAGTAAAAAGAGGGGAAACTGCAGCTACCGAACTTTCAAATGAAGAGGAAATCAAAGAGGTTTCAAGAAATAAACTGTAGCCCTAAAAACTAGCACATCCATTACCCCTAACACTAACCCTAGTCCTAAGCATGACCCTAACAATAAGCGAAGTCCTAGGCCTAGCCATGGATGCAATTCAAATTCTCACTCCTTACTCCTCTCCTCCCTGCAGTCCACCGAAAGACCCAGGTTCTACCCACTAGTGTTGTGGTGATCCAGTATGATGGTATTTGTAAAGTCATTGGCACAACCTCTGACAGATAATAAGCACCCAATGTACCTTAGCTACTATAATGACTGAGTTTGCTCCTGCTCACTGTAAAGTCCAGGGTGAAATTGGCTCTTCTACTTCCTGAGGGAGTTGGGTCAGATGCGTGCCAACATGCTTCACTTAAAGCTTGGCTGGTGACTGTGACCACAGAGGCAGGGCCAAGGCCTACAGCCACTCACCATAGACCCGCTGCCACCACATCAACAGAGCTGTGAATCCAAAGAAGAAAAAGACTCCGCCCATCACTGTCTTCCACTCGTTGGAGCGACGGTTCATCTCTGCGAAGGTCTCATGGAACTGGAGCCGGTATACTGAAGAGTGGGAGCATGGGAAGGGACTTCAGGTGTATCTACCCCAGGGAACAACCCCCCCCCCCAGCGGATCATGAACTAAACTCCCTCAGGAAAGCTTCAGGGGAACAAGGTCTCTGTTTACTCTTGTATTTCCAGTGCCTAGAACAGTGCTTGGCACTCCTCATCAATATTTCTGGAATGAATGAATGAAAGCACAGGCAGAGCCACTGCCCTCAAAGAAATTAATGTCAGGAAACAGGCATTCCAAGCTGAGGGAACTGCTAGTGCAAAGGTCCAAGGCAGGGCAACTTGTGGTATCTGGAGTTTGGAGGAGTTTTCCCCAGGAAAGAGGTGGGATGAAGAGAGAAGGGCACTCACAGGTGGGGGAGGGGCGCCTGTTTGGAGAACAGCAAGGATCCTGGAGTTGCTGAGCCGAGCCTGAAGAGCCTTGAATGCCAGACCCAGGGGTCTGAACTTGAAATTGTGCTAATTTGGAGTCTTTGACCTTGAAAAAAGGAGCCCTGGTGGCACCGTGGCTAAGCTCTCGGCTGCTAACAAAAAGGTTGGTGGTTTGAACCCAGCAGCTGCTCTGCAATCTGCTTCAGTAAACATTAGCCTTGAAAACCCTATGGGGCAGTTCTATTCTGTTCTACAGGGTTACAACGAGGCAATAGGTCTGTCTGGGGGGACTGACCTTTAAACTGTTTGCTTGGAGGACCCTCCCTGCTCCTGCCACCCTCCCCATTTGTCCTAACCTTTAAGACCTGGCCCCAATGGCATCACTAGGGGTGTGTGTGGACTACATCCTCAGACACTGTCCCAGGGGGTGACACCAACATGACTCCAGGGTCTGCAGATAGGCTGGTGCCACAAGGGAGGGTTGGTGGCACCTGTCACTCAGTAAGATAGGTGACTTGTCACCACCACTCCCCATTTCCCCCTCGAGTGTCGCCCTCCTGATAGAGTACCGATGGACAGGCTAGCTAAAGCCTGTCACTGAACCACAGGAGAATCTCCGCCTTGCCTATGGGAGAGAGGAGGAGCTACAACTGGACGGTGCTCCGCCTACAGGGTTGGGGTGGGCAGTCACAGGAAGAGTTACTGCACTGGGTGACAACCCTAGGGTCGCCAATGCCTGATCCCAGCTCCACTTCCTCCAGTAAGCCAGCCTGCCTTGGGAAGCCCAATTATTCAGAGATTCAATTCCTCAACTGAGCTCCTACCATAATGTTTGTAACTTGGTTACTTCACAACCATAAGCTCCTCACATCTGCCTGAAAGTCACCTAATCTCATATGCTCTGGAGTCAGACCCCAGGCTTTGAGCCATTTGGGCAACCCATTTCCACTGTCTGGGCCTCAGTTTCTTCATCTGTGAAATGGAGAAATACCCCCTCATACAGCTGATGTGAGATAAAGTGGGATCAGACAGGTCATGGGATTTGCATACTTCCTGGCACCTAATATAAACACTGAATAAACAGTGACTGATATTATTATTACTCTAAAACAATAACCCCACTTCCTCACCCCTTGGTTATCACCCTGGCACAGGCCTCTACCACCTCACACCTGGACCAACCACCTCACTGGCCCTTCCTGCCCATTGTCTCTCTGTTCATCCAGTAGCCACAAAGCAGCTTCTCAAACCACCTGGGTTCAAACCCATCCAGTTGAGGCTTAAGAAAACAAGACCTGTTTCTCTCACAGAAGAATCTGTCTGAGGTGGGCAATCCAGGACTGGCACAGCTACCTTAGTCTTTAGACCATGGTTGTTGTTGTTAAGCACCGTGGAGTCGGTCCCGACTCATAGTGACCCTGCACAGGGTTTCTGAGGCTGCAAATCTTTATGGGAGCAGAAAACCTCATCTTTCTCCCACAGAGCAGTTGGTAGTTTCGAACTGCCGACCTTGAGATCAGCAGACTGATTCGTAACCACTACGCTACCAGAGCTCCTTAATCTTTAGACGATGTTGTTGTTGTTGTTGTTATGTGCCGTGGAGTCGGTTCCAACCCATAGCAACCCTGAACAGGGTTTCTGAGGTTGTAAATCTTTATGAGAGCAGCCTCATCTTTCTCCCGAGGAGCAGCTGGTACTTTCGAACTGCTGACTTTGCGGTTCACAGCCTGATTCATAACCACTACGCTACCAGAGCTCCTTAGTCTTTAGAGCATAAGTACTGTTAAATGAAATGACAAACTACAGAAGGTATGTGTGCAAGAGGGGAGGAGAAGGGAAGGGCTCCTCTAATGGAAAGAAAGGAAGACAAACACCTACAGGTATGCACAGACACATTAGAATCTCTGGAAAAATACATAGGACTCTGGTCATAGAGGACTAGTTGGAAGAGAAGTGGACCTGCCTCTCTATTTTGTAATGTTAACCCTGTGTGTATAATCCTTTCTCAGTACATTAAATAAACAGGAAAATAAAAAACTAAAGGAAAAATCAAAGCTGGCAGCAGAATTCCTTGGGGAGAGGAATTGTCTTTGGTTTGAGCAAGATGCCCTGGTGGGTGGTTCAGTGTGTGACAGTGAAGGAGCGGGAATTTCCACAGAGATCAAGATTTGTGGCTGTGAGCCGGAAGAAGGGAACATTTGGGGTGGGAATGGGGGACAGTGACCACCCAGCATTGGATGGAGTCAAGGGCTGAAGCCTCGGAAAGGTCAATGGTCAAAGTGAGTTGTTTGCTGAGCTCTGAGGCTCCACTAGTAGCCACCCTGTCTTCAAATACTACCTGGTGTAGTGTCTAAAGGTGCCAGCCAGTCTGTGTGGGTTCAAATCTTGCCTCTCTCTCTCTCTCTCTCTAGCAACATCCCCTCTCTGAGCCTTAGTTTCTTTACCTGTGAAATGGGACCATCTCCACAGTAACACCTGCTGCATGGTAAATGCACAGGAAATATTAGGGGTTGTGCCAAATTGAAGGCCATCTTGCTTTGTGTGTGTCACATTTTGATGATATTAATTTTTTTTTAAAGGAAGAGGATAGTGTCCATTTCTGAAGTAAAATGGACAGAAAGAGATCAAGATGCTAGAGAGCTGAGAGGAAGGAAAAGATCAGAGGCAGAAAGAGTTGGAACGAGAGCTCACAAGAACCCAGCTTGCTTATAGCCTAGCACTGAAGGAGGCACTCACGATTTTGAACGAATGTGAGAATCTTTCTCCACCATAGAATTCCCTGAAATGTTAGTGGTCAGACTGGATGCAAAGGTCCAGATATCCAAATATTATCCCAGGGATACTTCTGGTGGGCAGGACTCAGGGACCTAAATCCCACCTACCTCCCAGCATCAGATCCCTGCCCTCCACCCACCTTACCTGTCTCTTTCTGCTGCAGTTCCCCACAGCCCTCAATGGTGCCCACAACCCACCGTGATCTCCAGCTCCACACCCTCCTCCATGCTGTTCGCACGGCGTGGTAGTCCCTTTCTAGTCACCTTCAGAGCTAGCTGGATCATGCCCTTCTCTGGGAGACCCGGCAGGATTCCATCACTCTCTTGTTTGGGTACTCAAGACCCCTTGAACACACCTCATCCTAGCCACACAGCCTGTATTCCAGTTATGGGGTCTGCATCAGTTACCCACACTGGACTGGAAGCATGAGGGCAGGAACCATAGGGTGTGCCCAGCCAAGCACAAATAGGAGCTCCTGAATAGTGCTGCCTAAATGAAAGAATGAATTAATGATCAAGTGAATTAATTTCACTCTTTGGATATTCATTCAGGGAGTTAGGGTTCCTGACTATCTTGGAGCCCTCTCTCTACTCCACTGCTCCTAGCAGACCCATCTTTTCAGCCACACATACATGCACTCTCTTACACACACACATACACTCATTCTTCCAGTTCAGCCCTGTCCCAACACCTACGGGCCACCTTCTCGGCATGAGTCAGCTGGGTCCAGCAGCCCTTCTCCTTCTCCTTCAGGTCTAGCTGTTCAGCGCTGAGCTCTGTGCAGAAGGGCTCGTCTGGCATCGGGTAGGAGCGTTGGGCGTGGTAGCTGGTGTACGGGGGCATCTTCCTCTCACTTGGGGCTGTGGGCAACAGGGAGGGTTAACTCTTAATAAAGAGGGCCTCATTTATTGGACACTTACTGTCTGCCTCCCGGTATGTTCACTCATTTTATTCTGTATCATTCTAAACCATATGAGATGGGTATCCTGTTTTACTAATGAAGAAACTGTACAGCTAAGTGACTTGCTGAAATTTACAGAGCAAGAAGGGACAGGATCTCCAGGGGCCCAGAACAGAACGAGGCTGGGCACTAGGGAAGGGGAGTGGTCTCAATAAAGGTTTCCCTGCTTATCAACACCAGTAATGTCCAGAAAGAGGGCATCGGCATTGGGATTGACTTGGGCAAGGAGTCCTGGCTCTTCAAGTACCTATCTAGCTCTCTGAGACTCAGTTTGTCCATTCAAGAAAAGGCTATAGTGGTACAGCACCCATCTCACTGCATTGCTGTACCATCTAAATATGTTAATCCATGGAAAATGCTAATCACAAGTGAAGTACTTAGTAACCATTGCCATCAGTCAATTTCACCTTAGAGCAGAACTGCCCCATAACGTTTCCAAGGCTGTAAATCTTTACAGAAGCAGATAACCACATCTTTCTCTCTCAGAGCTGCTGGTAGGTTCAAACTGGCAATCCTTTGGTTGGCAGCCAAGTGCTTAACCAGTGGGCCACCAGGGATCCCTGGCACATAGTAAGGGCTCAGTCAATGTTACCACTGTTATTATTCTCCTGAGGGTCAGGACGGTCCTACTATTACCTGGCTGAAATCTCTCCTGCTTTAGGCCTCTTTCTTCTGAGAAGCACTGACACCATGTTTGGAAAGGAGGATTCGGGGTCCAAGGTTTTGTTAACATCCTCTGTCTCAGAATACAAGGGCCTTGGGGGCCTGAAGTTTGGGGTCAGGCCCTGAGGAAGCTTGAATGGAGGGAGTGTTATCTGCTTGCCCCGCACACTCCATTTCCTAGAGGAACTTGGGTCAGGTCCAAGGAATATGATCATGAGAAGTGCTTTGGGGGCTGGCAGTGTGTGATGAGGAAGAGGCAGCTTTCAGAGAGGATCCCCCCCCCATACCTTAGCCCTGGATTTGGGTGACAGGGAGGGGGCCCGAGTCTTACCAGTGCCTCCGGGGCTGTGTATCCCTCGTATTTCGAGTCCTCCTTTTCTCAGCACCAGACTCCAGGTAGGTCTAGAGAACATCTGGGGTGTGCATGTGGATGAAGCCTGCTCCCAGGCTATCAGCCACCCACCACCCTCAGGCCTTAGGCCTCAAACTGTGAAACCCTCTTTCCCAGGTGGATTTGGAAGTGGGCATCCAAGAATTTCAAGGTCACACTCATACCCCTGATCTTTGTCATTTTTCTCTATCATTTCCAGGTGGGGAGGTGGGGCTCCTAGACATCGGAACTCCGTCTTGAGACCCCGAAATTCAACAGCTGAGAAGTGGGAGGAAGCCTACCTCTTGGGGCAGAGACTGAGAATTTGGGGCTGAGGGCTGGGTCCTGGGTTCTGCTTCCCACCTCAGCCCAGCCCAGCCTAAACTGGAGATTCCTTCCATTGACAGCCTCCCAGAAAAAACTGGATGAGAATTGGAGCCACCTTTCTTCCCAGCAGCGTCATCTCTCAGGTCTGGCCCCCACCCCTTCCCCCCTAATTGGCTGCCTACGTGCTTGAGAGCCAGCGCCACTGGATCTGGTGGGGGGAGGGGACGAGCTGAGCCTAGCCCCCCAGCCCCTAGGGAAGTCACAGGGTCTCGCATCCATCCCAAGGTTGTCGGGAGAGACTTTAGAGGAGGGCAGGAACCAAAGTGGGTCAGAGAGAAAGAAGCACACATCTTGGGAGAGGAAGATAGCACCCCATTTCTAGAAGAGTGAGGAACCCCCACATCTGAAGAGAGAGAGAGACACCCAATTAGAAGAACCGGCCATACTACATGCATGCGTAGGGGGTCGCTCCTACATTTGGGGAAAGAGAGGGCACCTCATATGCGGACAGAGGACAATTTCCGAAGAGTCCCCAACGCTAACCTAGCAGAAATCTTCGCCCCCCCAGGGCAGTGACCACAGAGGCCTGACTGGGTGGCGAAAGTAGCAGCTTCTACCCGGCCAGGTTGGGCAGAGGAAGTTCTCCCACCCACCCACTCACTCACCTCGCAGCACAGTGTTAGCTACTCGCTTCTGCGGAGCCAGTAACCAAGAATAGACTGGGCTCCTACCAAAGCGCCTTGCCTGCCCCCGGCCCGCCCCACAACCCTTCCTAGGGCCGCCCCCTCGTGGGAACGTCCAGCCTTGTCTGGGGCGTGGGAGCTTCCAAATCTTATCCCTAGGGCCTATGCGCTGAGGGTAGGGACTGCAGAGCAATCCCCGCCTCAGTTCCCCATCCATGGGAGTCCTGCCTCTAGAAACCCTCAGCTTACAGCGCCCTGGGACCTGGCCAGCATTGTCTCTGACGCCCAGTGTTCCAGCTGGCGCAGCCCTCTGAGCAGAGGAGTCCTAGGAGCAGAATCTGCCTACGTCAGCACCTTTGCTCACTGCTGTTCTCTCTACTTGGAATGTATTCTCTTTCAGCCTTTGCAGCCTCAGGTCTTACAGCCAAGACCTAATGCCTCCTCCTCCAAGAAGGCTTCACGGACTTGGAACCTGGCAGTGATGTACCCCCCCACCATACAAAGTGAAAGATCTCCTGCTGGGGTTCAGACCTTTGCTGTGTGGCCTTTAACAAAAAGCTTGACTTCTCTGAGCCCCTATTGCTGTTTCTATGAAGGAGAACTGATGATAGTTCCTACCTCATATGCTGTTAAGGACTGAATCAGTTAACAGAAACACTAACGGCTGAAGCAATTAATAGAAAAGCATCAAACACATTTGTTCAAGTATTTATTATGAACTATTGCAGCTGGTGTGGCACTGTAGGATAAGCACTGGACTGCTAACCAGAGATCGGCAATTCAAATCCATCCATTGTTCCTTGGAAACTCTATACAGGGTTCTCTATGAGCAAGAACCAACTTGATGGTTAACAGCACGTAACAACAACAACAATTGCAGCTGGGAGTCAGTCCCTGGGTGGTGCAAACAGTTAAACTAGTGCTCAGTTGTTGAAAGGTAATAGAGTCTAATCCACCCAGAGGTGCCCAGGAAGAAAAGCCTGGTAATCTTCTGAAAATCAACTCTTGAAAACCATGTGAAGCACAGTCCTCCTCTGACACACATGGGGTTACCGTGAATCACAGCTTACTTGACAGCAGCGGGTAGTGGTATTACAGACGGCATTTACAGTACTGAGTGTCTGTTATTTACCTGACTAAATGCATAGGGATATTGAGATGTGAACAAAATCCTCACAGGGTGTACAGTCCAGTTCTTGGCAGAAGGGACGACCTGTGCAAAGGTCCAGAGGCAGGAAAACACAGTGTGTGTTCAAAAGTAGAAGGGAGGCTAGCTTGTCCAAAATCTAATGGGGAAGGCAGAGGTTGGGGGATTAAGAAGGCGATGGCCTTGGACTTTACTCTAACAACAATGGGAACCCACTTCAGGTAAGCAAGGGTTGTTGTTTTTGTTAGGTACCTTTGAGTTGGTACTGACTCACAGCAACCTTATGCACAACAGAATGAAACACTGCCTGGTCCCGCACTTATCTCACAATTGTTACCCTTCAGCCAATTGCTGCTGTCACTGAGCCAATCCATATTGTTGGGGGTCTTCCTCTTTTTCTTTGACCCTCCACTTTATTAAGCATGATGTCCTTCTCCAGGGACTAGTCCCTCATGAGAATATGTCTGAAGTGTGAGAGATAAAGTCTGGCCATTCTGGCTTCTAAGGATCATTCTGGCCATACTTCTTTCAACACAGATTTGTTTGTTCTTTAGGCAGTCCATAGTACCTTTGACATTCTTCTCCGACACCATAACTCAAATGCATCAATTCTTCTACGTTCTTCCTTATTCATTGTTCAACTGCCACACACAAATGAGGCTATTAAAAATACCATGACTTGAGTCAGACACACCTTAGTCCACAAACTGACATCTTTGCTTTAAAGAGGTCTTGTGCAGCAGATTTGCCTAACGCAGTATATTATTTGATTTCTTGACTGCTGCTTCCATGAGTGTTGATGGTTGATCTGAGCAAAATGAAGTCTTTGACAACCTCAATCTTTTCTCCATTTATCATGATGTTACTTATTGTTCCAGTGGTGAGGATTTTGTTTTCTTTACATTGAGATGCAAACATCCAGAAGACTATGGTCTTTGATCTTCATCAGTATGTATTTTAAGTCCTCTGCAATTTCAGCAAGCAAGGTTGTATCATCTGCATATCACAGGTTGTTAATGAGTCTTCCTCCAATCCTGATGCCACATTCTTCTTCATATAATCCAGCTTCTCAGATTATTGGTTCAGCATACAGTATGGCGAATAAGTATGGTGAAAGAACACAACCCTGGAGACACCTTTCCTAATTTTAAACCATTCAGTGTTCCCTTGTTCTGTTACAACAACTGCCTTTTGGTCCATGTACAGGTTTCTCATGAGCACAAATAAGTGTTCTGGAATACTCATTCTCTGCAGCGTTGTCCATAGCTTGTCATGAGCCACACAATCAAAAGCCTTAGCATTAATCAATAAAGTACAGGTATTTCTCTTTCTGGTATTCTCTGTTTTTAGCCAAGATCCATCTGACATCAGCAATGATATCCCTCGTTCCACGTCTTCTTCTGAATCTGACTTGAACTTCTGGAAGTTCCATGTCAGTGTACTGTTGCAGCCATTTTTAAATTCTCTTTAGCAAAAGTTTACTCTCAGGCAATCAATATTAATGATATTGTCCAATGACTTCCACATTCTGTTGGGTCATCTCTCTTGGAATGGGCACAAATACAGATCTCTTCCATTCAGCTGGCCAGGTAGCTGTCTTCCAAATTTCTTGGTATAGATGAATGAGTACCTCCAATGCTACATTTATTTACAGAAAGGTTTCAATTTCTATTCCATCAATTCCCAGAGTCTTATTCTTTGCCAATGTCTTCAGTGCACCTTGAACTTCTTTCAGTATCATTGGCTCTTGATCATATGCTTCTTGAAATGGTTGAGAGCATGAGTTCAGTAAATTGGCCTAGGAGTGTTAGTGAATGGATAATAGACTGTTGTTGGTATACAGATGGAAGTGTGTGACCCCTCTAGTCTGGGAACTGGTGCCTTCTCCATCTTACAAATTTGGGCCAATGAGGTACGCCCATCTCCCAACATCAACCAGATTCCCATAGCCCAGTGAGGCCATAGGGACCAGCTCCAGCCAATGTCGTGAGGAAGTTTAGACCCTGAGGTAGGTGGGTCTGGAAGGGCAGGGACTCAGAGGAAGGGACTGCAGCGTTCCTATTTTGGACAGGAAGCATGTCACTTCCATTCTGAATCTCCAAGAGACCCCCCCAGCTCCCAGGACTAGCTATGCATGCGTCTGCGCCCCCTGGTGGCTACTTCTGGTAGTTGCTACTCCTGGGCATTGCCACAAAGAAATTCCGAATTTTAGGGACCAGCTGCTCCTCAGAAACCCTATACAGGGTCGCTATGGGTTGGAATCGACTCGACAGCACTTAACAACAACAATAACAAGAGCTTAATGAGTCATGGTGTGGCGCTGTGGGCTAACGCACCAGACTGCAAAGTCGTTTGAATTGCAAGATCGGCGGTTCACGCTCACCAGCTGCTCCTTGGCAACCCTATAGAGGATCACTGTGGGTTGGAATTGACTCGGCAACACTTAACAACAACAACAAGAGCTTAGAAACTTTTAAAGAGCTTACTTCTTCAAAGCTGAGCAGTGTGTCTTAAAGAGTTTAATCTTGCCAGACGTTTCCAGAGGCAGGTGGGTGTCCCCTGGCGGTGAGGAAGGTGTGACTGCAATGGAGTGTGCCCGGATGTGTGGGTTCGACTGCTGCGACTGCTGCCTCCCTGAGTTGCCTAGAGTCTCCATTTCTGAGCCTCAGTTTCCTCATCTTTTCTGGGCCTCTCAAGGGAACGCATTTAGGAATGCAACCCTCTGTTCTTCCCTGCACTCTCTCAGCCCTGTCCTGTGGAAACCCAAGGCCCAGATGTGGGGCTGTGTTGTGTATTGTGACAGAGAACATCTGTCAGGATGCCTGGTCTCTGTGGACAGTGGCTGCAGGCAAGTCCCCAGGTTGAGATCCAGCATCTCCTCATCTG